ATCATCACTAGAGATACACCTGGAAAATTGTGGTTTACTTCTCTTGATCTTAAATATGCTTTCAGTCAATTACCATTATCGGACTTGACCAGTAGTCATTATAAATTAAGCATTTTGTGTGGAGAAGCAACAGGCACATATAGATTCAAGACTGGTTTCTACGGATTGACGGATATGCCCACAGAATTCCAGAAAGCGATGGACTGTACTTTGCAAGGGTTGGAAGGTTTTATATGTTACCTCGATGATATACTGGTTGTCACTATAAAACAAGTTGAGGAGCATAATGCACTGGTCGCAAGAGTCATGGATCGATTGGACGAAGAAGGATGGGCGTTGAAACTTAGTAAATGTGAGTTTTCAGTTAACAAGCTGGTCTGGTTAGGGTACGAAATCGATGAAAACGTGTACGCCCCGAAGTTCTCGAAAATCGTGGCTATTAAATCCTTGTTGCCACCAAAAACCCTTCAACAATTAAGATCGTTTATGGGGACCCTCAATCATCTTCAACGTTTCATTCCGGATTTGCATAAATATACGGTCGCATTTAGGGCTTCTTTAAAAGCGGAGAATAAGAAATCCTTTTTGTGGGGGAAAGAGCAAGATCGTGCTTTCCAGAAAATTTTAAACCTCATCGCAAACATCCCTAATTTGTTTCACTATGACGCTTCAAAAGCTTCTCGAGTTAAATGTGATGCGAGTCACAGCGGGCTGTCGTCTTGCTTGGAACAGGAGGTGGAACCAAATGTATGGGCACCGATAGCGTTTGCCTCCAGATTTCTTAACTCCGCGAAAATCAAATATAGTACCAATGATTTAGAGCTTCTGTCTATTGTATGGGCCTGTGAAAATTTTCGTACTTACTTACTTGGTAAGCGTTTTGTTATCCTAACAGATCATATGGACATTATTTCAGCCCTCAACGAAACGTATGGCAAGAAATCTTATCAAACACGACTCTCTCGTTGGGCGGATCGTCTCATCTCGTTTGACTATCAGATCGAACATGTACCAGGTATTGTCCATCTTTGGGTATTGTTGACTATATGTCATGACACCCGACTTTCGAAGCACCTTTATTGTCGTCGCTCGATGAATTATTCGTCATTAAATCTATTCAAGCTTTTCATAATGCTTAAAACTCGATCAGTACTCAGTCCAGACCTCAAATAGTGCCTGTGGGGCACGTTTCTTATTATGACCGATTTCGACCAGTCAGATAGCTCGGGAACAAAATTAGCTACCTCTCAACTAAAGAGGGGGACCAATCAACGATTGCTTCATACAACCAATCGCATGTTAGCAATCATTTTCGTGCGTCGTCACTAGAGGGCGTCGAGTTTAATTACCAACTTATTAACCAATCTCGAAAGGATATGCTAATTTATAGTCAAAGTTTCTCACTGCTAGAGGGCGCCGGTTAATGCTCTCAATCATTCAACCAATCACAGGCTAGTATGCAAAATCGTGATTGTATATCATCGCCGCTTGTGGTCGACTTTCCATGCTCCAGTGGATTCGACCAATCACAGCTCAGTATGCAAATAGGATACGCTAAACCGTAAGTTTTTGATCAAACTCATTGTCTCCGACCTTACATCTTAGAATCAAGTTACACTATGGATACTTCAAATAATCTCTCTCAAAACGCTACTCTCAACTCTACTCTTATTAACTCTAATACTTCTAACACTACACTTGACTTCGCGAACAACACGCTCGAAAAAACAAATCTTTTGAACTTCTTTTCCTAATTTTGAACTTGTTTTCTACAAGTTCTCCTAATTTTCGTACCTCAAGTCAACAAAGACCCGGACACTCAAAAGTTCACCCTACGAATCGCCCAAGCCGTATTGACCAGATACGAACCCGGAACCTGGCCCGACTGAGACATTCACGAGAACGTTTTGTGGTCGCTCGGGGACAGTCAACGCGAAAGGCCCTAGCTCAGCTCCGCGACAGGTGCCGGAGACAGCGGCAGACAAAACAGGCCAGACCGGGGGAAACACTCAGAATGAGAGTTAACGCCACCAATAATCGCAAACCACTTGTCACTCAAGACAAAAAGAAAGTAGTCGGTCTCCCAGGAATGTTTGATGTTGACCTGCCGGGAGAGTTGACAGGCGAAGATCCATTCCTTGGACCGATGAGGGCCGCGATCATTAACAAGGACGTACAATCTTTCAACAAACTGGGGTGCACATGGCCCAATTCTGGCCGAAGGCGGCGGTGGTGAATAATTGTGTCCTGATAGACAACAAGCTGGCTATACCCGAGCAGCTACGGAGTGCTATTGATTCGACTTCACCGGTCGCATCCTGGACAGGCGGCCATGATGGACGCCTCGGAGTATATATGGTGGTCATTCCTCAATCGCCAGATCGTTAACGTCTGTGAAGTGACCGGAGTGTACCTTATTTGGTAAGAATATCAGAAATTCGACGACTTATAACTCCGCTAAGCCGTTACCACCGTTGTCAGCTCCGAATCAAGAAATACAACTTGATTTTGCGGGTCCGTTGATAGACGATAAGAAAGGAAAAATCGATATTCTGGTCGCAATAGACCGTTTTTCTAAGTATCCTTCGGCGATGTTAACTAAAGCAACTAGTGCGAAAAAATAGTCAAATTTATGCGATCGTATATTCGTAATCATGGCATACCGGAAAGCATTAGGACTGATCACAGATCTGGGTTTAACTCTGATGTCGTGAAATTTTTTTGCAAAAGTAGAGGTATAAAACATATCCTCACAGCGGTGGGGGATCATCGAAGTTGTGGGTTGGTGGAAAAGTCGATCCAGACCATTAAACGAAAGTTGGGAACAGAAAAATTAGATCCTAATTTTAAAAATTTGAAGTCGACTTTACAACAAATCAGTGACGATATTCGGAAAACAAAGCATTCTACGTTAAAAATATCTCCTTTTGTGGGAGAAAGCCTAACACTGAGTTTTCAATAGCGCGTGATAATGTTGTTCATTCTCCTACTTCAGCGCAAGGACTGGAGAGAAACCTAACACCGGAGCAGCGATCGAGCCAAGACTACAGCCGCGATAGGGCTAAAGTTGTCCCCAGAGGAGCGTCACACAGTCCGGACATCCCTTGTAGATTCAAGCCACTCTTTGGTGTGGGCGAGCGTATAGCAGACAGTCAAACTTACAAGGCCTTGGAGAACCTTGCAAAGGCGGCTAACACCTGGAAGCAGTGGAAACGGAATATGCCTCCACAACAGGGACGAGAACTTCTCCGCGAATTGGCGGCTCGTAATAGTGACCTCGCAAACTCGCCGAAATCGGGATCACAAGGGAACTCTGCGCTTTTACGACAATGTTCGAGATACTTCGGCACCAGCACTCTGGCATTCCCAGCGAATGAACGTGTCGTCCTCTTCGAAGCCCAAAAGACTCTCAAAAACACGTAAATTAGAAAAACTAGTTTTACAAGATCCTCTAGGAGTCAAAATCTTTCGGAAAGATCTTGATCGAAAATCGGGAAAGCCTCTGTTCAAACTAGCAAAAATCAAGATTACTCGTGTTACAGACCATACTTACATTACTGACAAAGGGAAAATCTATCGGAAAAATCACTTAAGCCTAAGACATGATTTTAACCACCCTAAGTTTTCAGCTACGCCTGGCACGGTGGGAGAACGACCACAGAGACGAATTGCTCCTCGGCCTCAATCTCAGCCATATACTTCTCCAGCTCAGAGGCAAGTAAGTGAACCTTCGAAGTGCAAGGTGATTGACCTAACGGCAGAGTCATCAAGTGAGGACTCCTTAATCACCGGACCCCAGCTTGAGTTGGTGGAGGCACCCGTTACAGCGCCTCAAGGATTGGCTCCCGCTGATGCTACATCGAAAGCTCCGGTTACACAACCTCTGACAAACCCCGCCTCGACATCTTCCACAGGAGTTCAAGCAACGTCTCAGGATCCGCCCATCACACTTCAGCCACAGACTTCAAGCACCGTTCCTCAGGCTGCAGCTCAGGGCCCGGTGGCTACTGGTTATATGGAGGATGGTGATCCAGCTACCCCATCTACGAGCGATTCCACCAGATGTTCTGGTCGGTCCAAGAAACCGACGAGGTTTTACGGCGATCCTCTTCGCCATTCGGTCAAGAGCATTACTGAGTCCGACCCTGCTGAGTCTTCGTCACAACAACCAATCCCAGAACAGACGATTACTACACCTTTCACCCCGATTGTCCGAAAAGGATCGCAGTTGCCTTTTCCAAGAACCAAAGAGCAAACTACTCCGTTTAAGAAAATCAGAATCGACGAGCATGATAAGAATTCTTAAACTTAAAACTCACATGAACTACGCTCTATTTGGTTCATGTTTGGGTTATAGCCAACCTATTAACAAGTGCTTAATGTCTTCCTCATTATTCTGCCTTATACATTCCAAAATTTATACTATGATAAATTTTCTTCTAGAGGGGGAAGTGTCATGAGGCGACCTTCGGTACCTCATTCTATTCTATTTACTTGTGTATGTCTTATATAACTATGTCTTAATTATCTACTTATAGTGCAGTAATTGACTCAAGGACAAATCTCACCAGCCAAATCGTTTGTCACTTGAGAATCTGAAGCGGCCAGTTGCGAAAGCCTTATGTGTGAAATCTAGTCGATAAAAACATTCGTGTTAATCAAAACAATCTATTCAATCTGGAATCGTTATTTCTATAAACATTATTCTATTCTATCTATTTATATATCATATTTAATTCAGTATTCGATTTTTACAAACCTGTTTTCACTACTCCAACTGAGGGAAATCTCAAAGCAGAGCTGACGAGAACAGCTTTCTATAGGCTGATTGTTTGGGATCGTGAATTTTATGTACACTGAGATGGTCTGTTTTATTGCAGGAATGCAAGTCTAAATTTCTTGCGATGGCCAGGACAAAGAACGTTATTGAAACAAAGCTTGTGTGTGGCAGTTGGTGCGTGCGAAGACCAGTTCGGCCTGTTGTGTTGACCTTCTGTTGTGTTCTTTAAGATGCTTTTGTTTTGTGATGGCCACCTCGATTGACCAGAGTGCTCGCTTGTACCCTGTGCGGGAGCGGGTGAGACTGTTAAACAGGCTGCAGTGCGTCAATAGACATGGCCAGATTGCGCAGGTGGGGGCCGGAGGAGGAGGCGGACAGGAAAGACAGCAGCAGCTGCCGGTGGTGCACATGTCTTCGTGGGGCTGTGGAGTGAACAAGCGACTGTGTATGCAGTGTGGAGAAAGGAGTCACTCGACCAGTGTGGTTAAGGCGGAGCCGATGGGGGACAAGAGTAAGCTGTACTACTGTCATGCGTGCAGGTGTCTGATTGCGAGGGCGCCCATGTTCACCCAGCACCTGAAGAGGCATGCGCGTTGCTTCGTGTGTCCTCTCCCACTCTGTGGACTGGCGAAGAAGACCAACGATGCTCTCCTCACCCACATGTTCTCCCACTACGGCCTCAAGCCATACACCTGCTCCATATGCAACAAAGGTCAGTTCAGGTCAGGTCGATTGTACACTACTTTACCAACACACACTCTCCTCTCACTCTGTCTATGTACTCAATCATTTGGGGTTCTTTTTATTCAAATTCCTTTAAACAAGTCTCTTATAATTAAAAGCCCTGATTGGTTGAAAAATATCACTACCATTTTACAGAGCTATTAAATATATATATCCATTAGCTATCGAACAGAATTGTTATTCACCTTGCAGAAAACAAACGCTTTGGGCGAACCGAGAAAAAGACTGGGAAAAACAGGAATTTATTCCTAACAACAAGATAAAATATCAGTTATAAAACCAAGATAATTGTAACATTATCATAAGCCACAAGTTAAAAGTATGTTTAGAGTTGGTTGTTAAGAGTTGGTTCTGCCAATGACTGTGTTTGTGCATGGGTATCTGTGTGTTTAGGCTTCACGAGTAAGTACAGGGCGATCGATTGCTGCATTGGGAGCTACAAGTGTCCCATCTGCCACAAGTATCTCTCTTCTAATGCATCTCTCAAAGCACATCTGGCGCGCCACTCGCACAGACGGGAAGCACAGGTGGGGGGAGGAGGAGGAGGAGGAGGCTACAGGATCCCCACCAGACTGTTGCACTGCTCTCACTGTGGTCGGCAGTACACTTCCAAGAATGGACTGCGTCTCCACATGGATCAGGTGCATCTGCGGGCGGAGAGGAAGCCCTTCCAGTGCAAATTCTGCCTCAAAAAGTTCGCCAGGCAGGAGAATTTGAAACACCACGCTGGAATGTTCCACGCATTTAGACTGCAACTTGAAATGATTGACGTTTGTGTTAAAGGGTTCTGATGAGAAAAGCATGTGATGCTGCAAGTATGTTGACACTTGTTTTTTTTTGTTGTATCCCTGAGTGATACATTTGTAATACCGAATCTATGTATAATTTTCTAATACCGAATTCTGAATCAATGTATCTATTTGTAATACTGAGTGATACATTTGTAATACCGAAAATTACTACTTTGAGAATGCTCTAGCAGATGCTTCTCTTGCTTTTTGGGTTTTAGTTTAATTGGTTTCAATGATAACTGTTTTCAGTAATGTGCCAAGTTTCACTTAATGAATGAAGTTAACGATACCGCAAGGTACTTCGCTCAGTTAAAAGGCGGAAGAAGCCAGCGACTGGTGCGATTGGTTTGTTTGCTGGGATACTTGTGGTTGGATGGCGAAAAAAGTTCCGTGTCATTTTGAAATAATCGTGGTAGTTATGGAAAAGTGCGTGTTTCGCTGCCTGGTTGTCAATCTCTCTGTAGCTAGATGGATGTCCTGTTCTGTTATGTTGAGTGTTTGTTGAGTTGAAGGTGAGCTGAGGTGACTTGAGTTTATTTTCAGATTGTTTTGTATTGGATTGGGATGCCGAAGAGCAAAGCGAGAGTGTCCGACGACAACGAGAGTGAGAGTGGAAGCAGCAGCAGCAGCGACAGCGCCTCCACTCCTTCCGACTCCTACACCCCCAAAGCGAAGAAGACAAAGAAGCAGACCTCCTCCCCCTCTGCTGCCTCCTCTGCTTCTGTCTGGAATGAGGAGGGGCGACTGGCGCTAAGTGAGAAGAGGTTTGTAACGGTGAAGTGGTTCAAGGGCCTCGTGTATGTGGACATCCGGGAGTACTACGAGAAGGATGGAGTGAAGATGCCAGGCAAGAAGGGCATCAGCCTCAACCCCGAACAGTGGGCCAAACTGAAGGACAACTTGCGCCACATCGACAAAAAGGTCAAGGCCGTGGAAGAGAGGTGAACACACAAACTGAACAGGACAGAAGAGAGCAGACAGAAGAGAGGAGAAGAGAAGAGAACAGAAGAGAAGTGTGCAGTTAGTGAGTGGATAAAGATTAGCCGCTGCTCAGTGACATCTGTGTGTTATCCTACTTTTTATAATTTCTGAGAAAGTTTTTGTTATAGTTTAATTTGTTGGTGGCTCATAATGAATGCTAAATTCAATGATTTCGTCTAGGTACAAGTATGATATTTTTGTCCCAACATTTTAGATGGCTCTTTGAACATTTTAGGCTTTTTTCATTTTTGGAAACGGTTTGCTTCTGTCCACTTGTGATGGCGTGTTTTAATACTTGTTTTCACGAGTGACCCAACTATCATACTTGCATCTTGTTTCACTTCTATAGTAATAACTGCTGCAATTTTGAATTCAATTTTGTTGAGTCTTGTTGTTGAGCGGGCAGAGAAAATTTCAGCATCAGATCGTTTTCAAAAGCGCTTCGAATTAATTAGGAACCCATGTCATAATTTTTTTGTTATTTTCCCTGCAGTGGTAGATCTAGGAGATTTCACACCACGAAAGTGTTTTATATTTGATTGGGATGCCGAAGAGCAAAGCGAGAGTGTCCGACGACAACGAGAGTGAGAGTAGAAGCAGCAGCAGCAGCAGCGACAGCACCTCCACTGCTTCCGACTCCTCCACCAGGGGTTGGTAAAAGTCAATTGGTTTGGTACATCTTGATAAACACTCTCAGCTGATTTCTTTGTACACTTTTTCTTTTTACGAAGTCAATAATAGCTTTACATTAGTCAAAAATTGGAAAAACAAAGAAGTCAATTAATTGCATCCAATTAATTGCAATTAATTGGTCACCAATTGACTTTTACCAAGCCCTGCCCTCCACCCCCAAAGCGAAGAAGCAAAACCCGCCCTCTGCTGCTTCCTCTGCTTCTGTGTGGAATGAGGAGGGGCGACTGGCGCTAAGTGAGAAGAGGTTTGTAACGGCGAAGTGGTTCAAGGGCCTTGTGTATGTGGACATCCGGGATTATTACTGGAAGGATGGAGTGATGACGCCATCACCCAAGAATGGCATCCGCATTCACCCCTATGAGTGGGCCATACTGAGGGCCAACATCCGCCACATCGACAAAAAGCTCAAGGACTTGGATAGAATTGAACTGCCAAAGTGAACAGAACAGAGCCGAGAGAAGAGAAGTGTGCAGTTAGTTAGTGGAATAAAACTAAAATAGAAGAAAAGTAACGGAGAAATAACGTGCGATTCTGACAATAAGTGGCTGCTTGAAAACTCACCTGTTGATAATTGTACTGTACTGACTTTATTTGAACTTGTTTTTGTTTTTGTTTACCGTAATTTTGGAACTCTTGTTGCTATTTGTTCGCATCCCCTTGCTGAGGCCATTTATGTGCATTTTCTGTGGTTCCAATCTGTGGTTCCAATCCCACAGATGTGCATTTTCAAATGTTAGCTTTTCATTTTCACCTCAAGCCTCATTTTTGAGCTTAATGGCTTCAGAGAAATAATGTGAATGACAATTTTAAAGATTAGCCGCTGCTCAGTGACATGTGTTTTATCCTAGATTTTATAATTTTGTTTTTAGTATAGTTTAATTCGTTGGCTCATAATGAATTCTAAATTCAATGATTTTAAAGCGCAAATTTTTTTTTGTTCACACTGTTGCAATTGCCAAACTCACCAAATTAGATTTCTTTTGCCTCTACCCCAAGGTCTTTCAGATCTAGGGTTTTCACACCATGTGGTACCACGCACATTTTTTAAAGACCGAACGCCATTTTTGCGACCCTTCCCTTAACACTGTGAAAAGACTTTATTTTCCCTGGAAGTGTAATTTTGCGCTTTTCTGAGACAACGTGCCGAAAGTTACCATTTGGGTACTTTCTGAAAAACTATTTGCTTAAAAAATTTTGCGGCGCCTGCTCTACACCTAGATACATATTTTTAGAATCTTGTAATTGGCAACTGTCTTTTTTTTACTGTAAACAATTTTTACTAGAATTTTTTAACTTGATAAACTTCCAAAAACTTGGCCTGGAGGTAACGCGTTTGTTTTGGCATCCTTAAATCTGTAAGTTTGCATCCTTGAAGAAAAAAATGATTTCTTGGTTTCATTTGGTGGCTGCTCAAAGATTGTCGCCACTGTTTCCTTTTGCACTTTTGTTCAAATGCTAATTGAATATTCGAATGTTTTGGTTGGAATGCTTGCCAAACTTTTTTGTTTGATAAAAACAAATGTTTGCTTTTTTTCATTTAATTTTTTCTACCTACTACTAACTTACACTACCGCAAGGTAACTTACCTGATTACGCTATCTTTTTAATTTAACTTACACTACTAAGTTTAAAAAAGGGGTGTGAATAGAAATTTCGCTCTCTCCCATATGTGCCTGCATAATTTTCTACTCTTTTTACTTCACTCTAATGTCCGGAGCCATCAAAAGAATCTGGGGGGGGGGGGGGGGGGGGGGTGTGGGGGTTGTTTGGGGAACCTGATCTAAACTACATTTTATAATTGGATATTTTACCACTGTAAAATATTTAATATTAACCAATCATAATCCATCTAACTAACAACCCACTTATTTGTAAGTGCTGAAATTACTTGTAATTTCAGCATCAGAGAGATTTGAATTTAACTTAGAAATTAGTTGTCTCTCCTAGAGAACTTCAGCAGCCGCAACAAACCAGTATACCCTAGATCTATTGAGCCTAGCAGAGACTAGTTAAACACCCTGAGACTAGAAAGTATAAGAGTAAGATTAGGATCGGTATTAGACTAAGAAGTTGCACGAATCTATCCGGCCGAAAATAAGATAGCGTGACGAATAGACGGTGTACCCTAACCGAAATTACTCTATGAGTTAACCACATCGGTCATAACTCATCTGGTGCGACCATAAGTCTCGAATAAGACCTTAATAGCTTAGAATTAACCAAAAATAGATTAGACTTTAGACAAAACATTTTCAAAATGTTATACGATAATAATTTAATCGAAATGTCTCTACGACTCAATAGATCAGAGCCGATATTCCGAACGATAATAGAACTATCCGGATTTGGAAGAAGACCTCGGACAAGAGACGACATACGACAAAGTAGAAACTTACCATTTAGTTTTATGATTGTACGGCAAAAGTCAACACAAACTTTTGTATTTAGAATCTTATTAGCAATGAATTTAGATTTTCATTTGCAAACATAAAATTTTGAAGCCAATCTTCATGATCATTTCAGGCGCTAAACAAAATTATTAATGTACAATAACGATTGATAAAAAGATCTCAGATCGTTTTCTTAATTTCTGCAGTATTATATAAAACATATTTGAAAAATATTTATTGAAAATGAAAATAAAAATTAGTAGCATGACAATAAATTGTTAGTAATCATAAATCATCTGTTGTCCCAGCTTCATCACCTAAACATAACAGCATTCATAAGCCCACTAATATCATTGAAGAACTAAAAATCTTTTTATTCAATAAATTTAAATCATTTTAAACTCAAATTCATTTAATTTTAAAATCAGGTCATCAAGGCTTATCCTTGGATCTTATTAAATTTCTATCTAATTAAATTTAAAACCTGATCATCAAGGCCTATCCTTGGATCAAAAAGAACATTTTTGTTCTCCCCCACCCACTTAGCAAGTGTCTAACGACCTCAAACGTCGATTCACTATCCAACCCTTCCAAAAGACCCAGGACTAATAGAAATTTTTCAATAAAACTAACCATTCAAATTAAGATAAACAGTGAAGAACTTCGGTTATTCATCCTTCACTTGAACCCTCCTCTTACCAGACCCAGGATAGATCTTAGACTTAGTAAGTTTAAAATAGTATCTAACGAACTACTTGCGTTCTAATTATACCTGAACCTTGTGGATCGATTTACTATTCTCCAACCCTTGAAGATAATCACTACCCCTAAGTAAGATTAAGTAAGTTAACACCTTAGCTTAGACTAGCCACGAGAAAGTAAAAAATCATTCTTCGGAATCGATATACTTTTCTCTCCAACCCTGAACAAAAAGACCCAGGTTAAGCTAACCAAAAAATCATAAGGATTAACAGTCTAAGAAAATAGAAATAACTAACAACTTCTTGCATCCTTCATCCTGAACCTTATGTCATTCAAAAATTTAGGAAATAAGCAAACAATCGTTTTACACAACTGATAACAAAAAATACGATTTTGTAATCACACTCATACACAAACAGTTGGATACATTAGAACAAAACGACAAACAATAAAAAGAAAAATTATAAACAAAGACAAATCACACGAAAAACATTTTCAAAAAATAGAAACGCATTTTCTGAATCAGAAGCCAGCAGTTTAGATGAACTCTACAGATTAAAAGAATCAATTGATAAAAATTGTCCCATTCACGATCAATTATGTTCGTCCGACTCAGAAACAACTTCAAATTCATCAAAAAGAGGAAAAAGAAGAATAAAAAAGCAATACAAACACAAACCAGTACACCTGTATAATTGGAATCAACCAATTAGACACATCGATAGCTATATATTAACAGTCATCAAACGAAAAAATGAGCCACACTCAAAGTGACGATAGTCCAGATGACGAAGCAGTTTACCCCTTTCTTATAGATTCACTCGATGATAGAGGACAACATGATTTTTGCAAGAACTTACTCGTAAATTAGTTTGAACCCGGAATCAGTCCATGCAAAGCAGAATTCCCAGATGTAAAAATCAAAAGACAAATTATTGAACATCATTTGAAAGACATATGTAACCTAACACAACAATATGGAATCTACACCATAGAAATCAGCACACCCAATACAGACCATCGCAAATATGTAATTCAAACAGACGATATTGAATTAGAATTTTCAAAAGTATTCCTAGAATATATCAAAAGCATACAATATCATAATTCACAAAGAGCAAACTCCATATTCACTAACGAAGTTATTGCAATAATATATACTTATATATCTATATTAGAAAAAACAGAATTTCAAAGTATCTCACCAACTGAAACATCCAAACATACAAAAGTACGAAATGAAATCGCATTATTTTCAACATTTCTACATATAATTAAAGAAAATTTCACAAGAGATGATGTTTCACAATACACTAAACATGATTTACAAAAAATTTTAGCATGGTTTATAATAGATTATTTCACACATAATTCAGACTTAATTTCACAAGCAAGAAAAAATTTCAGACCTCAAAATACAAATGACGACACTGCCCTTTCAGAACAATCGGACTACGTTTGGGACCATGAATGGTCTCATCCTACATTTATAAATATCCCACAAGCTATCTCAAGTCAAGCAATAAGTACAATATCTTATCACAGAGATTATGTAAAAGTAATACTATTAACCATTGATGCAACACCATTAAACTACAATACATTTTTACCTGATACGCGATACATTTTTACCTGATACCTGATACATTTTTACAGTTTAAATTCGACCGTCATACACAATGAAAACCTTAATGGAACTAGAAACCTTACACAACAAGATATTCAAACACCATCACACTTCATAAATGAAGAAATCGTCCAAACAACAACAACTACACGACAAAGTATTTCACCAATACACCCAAATTTGACAACACCAAGAAATACAAATACTTCACTGGCACAAGTAACCTTACAATCAACCGTTAAACCTTCGGTTGCTCCAAAATATTTACATATGGATTATCAAACGTATAGACCAATGACAATACCGTCAAAAACACGAAAATCATTCACAAGAAACACCTTTGCAGAACATAATTATAATTATGCTCACAAACCAAGAACAAATCAACCCTCTCCGAAAAAACACACAACATTTAAATCACGTATGTTCCCATTATTGGAATCTCCCGAAAACATCGACCAATTCAGTAATTTTTCCAGATAATCCACAACCTACACACTACACAGGATTCTACTGAAAATTACCCATTCTTTCAACAAAATAAAAATAACCAACATACACCATTTAATACAAACTATTTATCATCCGATGAAGATGATTATCACCAATCAGATATTTTTGCACCATATACTAAAGAATATCGCACACAAACACCACGACAACCTCAACCATCTCGAAATATAAAAATTTACCCACAAAACCCAACAGTTGTACAAAATCCACAACAAATGCATATACAAAACCCATTTAACACACAATCTTTTCAACCAATACAACCACAAAATCCAATGTCAATGCCTTCTTATCAACCAACTCAAATGCAAAATGAAATACCGCTTCCATATTACCTTCAGCAACACGAAATAACAAAAAATCAACTTTCAAATTTTTCGCAAATGCCAAAGGCCGCAGAATCACTACAGATGACAATGAATCCATAACTCATGGGTGGATCATCAATAACATCCAATAAACCACTGATGGTATTCACAGGAACAGACCCTGAATATTCTGTAGAAGATTATCTAAATGCAGTAACAGCAAATTTAATTTTAAATATAGGACCTGAACCAATTAATACGCCACTACATCAAAATTGGATACATAGACGCACAGCTCTGATACAAACAACCTTAGATGGCGCAGCTCAAAAATGGTTTTCAGTATTACCTATAGAAATAAAATCAGACTGGAAAAGA